CGACGAAAATCGAATACAGTGTGAATCTAGCATCATTTTACGGATAATAAACTTTCTCTCTCAATGTAACCATTTATAATTTTACAATAATTCTTTATATTTTCATTATTTCTATATTTTATATAATAATATTGTATTTTACAATCAAAGCCAAAAACTTTTTGACATTCATGTAGAAATGTTCTATTTATTTTATTTTATTAACAAAATAATTTTTAAATAATTTTATTTTTTTATTTTATATAACTAATAATATAATTTATAATAATGTAAGAATTTTTCATATCGGAATGAAATTCATATAATTACTAAAATAATTTTATAATACCATTTTATTTTATTTTAGAAACTTAATTTATTTAAGGGCCACTGTCACCAAGCTCAGTTAACTTAACTGGGCCAATTAATCCATCGGAATTGATCAATCTGTCAATTTTTCAAACAAAATGACAAATGCGATTGATTAATTCCGATGGACTAAGGACCACTGTCACCAAGCTCAAACAAAATGACAAATGGGATTGGTCAATTCCGATGGACTAACTAGCCAGTTAAGTTAACTGAGCTTGGTGACAGTGGCTACGTTTACACCATGCGCTTAGTCCGCGTCCTATACGATAGGTGTCTTTGTTTAAATACAGGATAAACAAGGACATCTATCTATATGCCGCGGCCTAAATGCACGGTGTAAACGTAGCCAGTGGCCCTAACTGGCCTAGTTATGCTTGGTTTATGCTTTGGTTTTAACACTAAAATCCTAAAATTCAGCCAATAGGGCTGCCAGTCCTAATTGGTCCTAACTGAAATCAGTATTCCATTGGTGAATTTTAGGATTTTAGGGTTAAGACCGAAGCATAAACCAGGCATTAGATCAACTGAGCTTAGTGACAGTGGCCCTAAGGGTGAAATCACACGTGCGGAAAAAGACTGCGGAATAGAGAATGCGTCATTGAAGCAACCAATCAGCGCTATTCAGTGCTACACGAAATAGCGCTGATTGATTGCTTCAATGACGCATTCTCAATTCCGCAGGCCTTTTCCGCACCGTGTGATTTCACCCTAAGGCCCAGTTTCACAACTCACGGTTAACTCTTAATCGAGATTCAACTTGTTTCTCATCTCTTTCTAATTCTAAAATTAGTAAGAGACAATGAATAAGTTGAACCTCGGTTAAAAGTTAACCATGAGTTGTGGAACTGGGCCTAAATCAATTATTTATTGGAATTACCTAACGACTTTGGCAGAAGTTTGTCACCCGGATATACAAGCATATATCCGGATGTACATGGCAATATGGTGGGAAAATGAGATAGGGACATTCCATGGCCGTGGTCCGATTTATGCTGACAACGCAAATGCATGAGCATCATTTGTCTTCGTTTAACGTTTGACAAACAACAAGGATGAAATGATTTTAAGCGTTGCGAGCGTGAATCGGATCGCAGCCCATGTCATGTCAGATTGGTCGAGCTATAGGGACTTTATATAGGACTTTGTCCAATATTGCGGTTAAAGTTCCTATCATGGAACATATCGGAGGCTTTCCTTTTAAGAGACACAGCTTGCTTTCCAGCAAAGACACAGTCAGACACTGTGTAATACAGTGAGTCGTTTCATCCTTATTTAACATTGGCAAACAACAAGGATAAAATGACTCATTGTGTTACACAGTGTCTGACCACAGTATAATGATCCTTAGGCCGGAATCAGACTAGGCATTGAAGATTGAGATTGAAGATTGAAAGATTGAAATTTGACCAATCAAAACAATAGGAGTTAAAATTTCTTTGTCCTTATTGGTCAAATTTCAATCTTCAATCTTCAACCTCAATCTTTAATGCGTAGTCTGATTCCGGCTTTATACTGTGGTCTGACTATGGCCAGTATTCATAGTCGGTTCTTATTTCAAGACCGTCTTAAGTAATGTCTTAAGACGTTAATGTGGCCTTTTGATTGGTTCGTGACACCTCAGGGCTGAACTTAAGACAATCTTGAATATAAGAACTGACTATGAATATCGGCCTATGTCCTTGCTGGAAAGCAAGCACAGTCGACACAAGTCGACACAAGTATAGTCTTAAACACAATAGACACAGGCAATA